ATTTAGTACTTTTAGTTACAGACCATATACCAAAAACAAGCTCGTATGTATATAAAAGTGTTACATATCATGATAAAAGATTTTTTTTCTTGCCACTCTCGTGATCTTGGATACGTTGTTTTCATAGGGGAGAATTTAATATGGCTATGAAGAGTAGCATATCATTTTCCTCGATGTCCATTGACAACTCATTTTTTCGAGACGAATCAAGTTGTATGACGGCTAGGATGTGCGTTTACACAATATTTGACTGCGAGAACGCGATAATAAATTCTTTGTTGAAAATAAGACCTTCTATTTGAAAAAAAATGACGGATTACAAAATAAAATCAGCAGGGAAAAATGGGGGGTTTTGGTTTAGGGATAAGGGTTTTAAAGGGAAAAAAAAAGTAGAAAATAAGCATGGAAATGAAGATGATTTATTCTCAAATTTTGCGTGAAATTGGAAGATTTTATTGAAGGAAAGATTTTGGGGGTGAACGTAGAATTTCCATTCTATTTTTTTTTATACTCGGGTGTCCACCTTCGGCAAATAATCTTGGGGTCTACGCCTTGACCCCTCAAGACGCAGACCAGGTAAACTGTGGGATGTGCCTCAAACTGGTCAGGGTCCAAGAGCCCCCTCCACTGATCTGCCAAAGTGACGAGCGAGTCAACACATGTTCCATTCTTGAGCATATATTGTGGGGATCAAGGAGATGTCCAAAGAAACAAAAGAATCAGTTACATTTGTCATAAGATCTCCTCGTATAAATAGACTAAAAAATCATTGAGAATTCTTTTTGGTTGTAATTTTCACCCACAATAGGTATTTATTAAAAATACTAGGTGCAAGCAACGTGCAATGCACGTTTGCTTAGTTTATATTTAATATTTTTGTTTAATAATTAATTTATTATTAATAAAGATGTAATTTTTTTTGGTTAATTAAGGTCGTGTCTGGGCGCGCTGCAAGGAGGGAGGAAAATTGATTATGTTACCTTTTTTTAAAACCTACAGCCCTACAGTGAGAGAATTGGTCCAAAATTGCGGCTCCCAACTGCATGAATTGTGTTGCCACAGCTTGATTTCTGCTGAAAAACAGAAACAGACACCCTATAAATAATTAATGATGTAATGTTTATGTAATTGATAAATAATTAGATGTGTGATTTTGATATTGTGATGTAGATTGGTGAAATTGAAGAAAATAAGTAAAAGTAGACAAATTTGGAGAAATGGCTAAATTGTAAGGGATCGAAAGTTTGGGGGTTAAAATGTAAATACTTAAAAGTTGTGCCGAATCTAACGATGAAGATTTGAGAGTGCTCGGAGTCAATTGGATAAAGGAAGATGTCAAGGGAATCAAATTTAGTCAAAAGATGATCACAAATCAATTTCCAACCTAAAAGTTATGCTCCAGTATTTTAGTCTCATATTGAGACCTATTTTTAGTATAGAAATTAATCAAATTGGAGAATGATGTCTGAATTAAAGTTGTAGCCAGATGAGTTATCTTTCCAACGCATTTTGCATCGTCTCAATAGAATATCGGAATACAAAGTTATGATAAAAATACTGAAAGAAAGTGCAGCTGCCTGTTTAAAACAAGAAATTCCGTTACATAGTCCGTTATATTGAGACCTATTTTTGGCATATAAAGTGGTCGGATTGGAGAATGATTTCTGAACTAAAGTTGTAACCAAATGCGTTAGATTTCCAACGCATTTTGAATTGCCTCAATCGGATATAGGAATACAAAGTTATGATAAAAACACTGAAAGAAGATGCAGCTACCTGTTTAAAATAAGAAATTTCGTTACATAGTCCATTATATTGAGACTTGTTTTTGGTATAGAAATTGATCTAATTGAAGAATGATGTTTGAATAAAAGTTGTAGTCAGATGAGTTAGCTTTCCAACGCATTTTGAATCACCTCAATCGGACTTTGAAATACAAAGTTATAATAAAAATATTAAAGGAATGTGCAACTGTCTGTTTAAAACAAAACATTCCGTTACATAGTCCGTTATATTGAGACATATTTTTGGCATAGAAAGTGATCGAATTGGAGAATGATGTCTAAATCAAAATTGTAGCCAGATGGGTTAACTTTTCAACGCATTTTGAATTGCCTCAATCGAATATCGGAATACAAAGTTATGATAAAAACACTGAAAGAAGGTGCAGCTGCCTGTTTAAAACAAAAAATTTTGTTACATAATCCGTTAAAACAACAAATTCCGTTAATTTTTTCGTTAAACCAATACATTCCGTTAAATAGGCACTTTTTATATATAGAAAGATATTTGAAACATTCTAATTTCGAAATTAGTGGTTTAACTATGGAATGACAAGAGCCTAACTCTAGTTGAAAATGTGAAGTCCACCAGCTACATTAGCCTAACAACGCCAAGTTCACACCACCAAGTTCGGTAATAGACTACTACTGGAGCAGCATCTTAAAGCCCATGTGTTAGTCCTAGAAATTGTGGTCTTATCAAATCCAAGTCATTATCGAATCCATACCAGAAGGATTTTCTTGTTGAAAGTCATTATTGAACCACTTTAGGATTTTCTTATTTCGCTTTTCCATCGATTTGAGCCCCAGATATCCACTTCTGAGGTACTCGAGTCGAATGCTAATAACGATTAGACAAGTAACTTAAATATATTTTTTTAGGAAAAACCATGGGTTCGACTGTTCGAGACCAATAAAAAATGGAGTGTAAGTATATTTTTCCAGGACAAAACAAACACCCCAACTATGGGTACAAGGTAATTTGTTTCTTGGGAACAACACGTTCGACTGAGTTGAAGAATTACTTATAAGTAAATATATTTGTGTTAATAAAGTAAATAATAATAATAATAATAATAATAAGGTACTTATTTAAAAGTAATATTTACTTTAGTCTTGGGATCCGTTTGATTGCAAGAATGAAATTTGGGTGAAAAGAAAATAAATTACAGGAAATTAAATTGTTTAGAACTTGTTTTACTGAGAATATCAATTAATTGGGTTTGATTAGTATAATTTTCCACCTGAAAAAAAAAATTAAAATTTTTGATCTTTTGGTGTTCGTTTGACTTTATTTTTCATGAAAATTGTCCATTAAATGAATAGAATTTGGTACAATTGGAGATGAAATTTGTTTCAATTGTCAAAAAAAAAAAAAAAAAAAAAAATTGTATAAAAAAGCTTTTTCCACCAAANAAAAAAAAAAAAAAAAAAAAATTGTCTAGAAAAGCTTTTTCCACCAAAGCCATGAGAAAAATTTTCCTCAAAAATCAAGAAAATGTGGAAAACCAATTACACGAAAAATTTAATCAATCAAACATGTAAAAATGTGGAAATGAATTTTAATTTCCACGTCTCATGGAAAAGAAAAAGCAATCAAACAGAGCTTAATAAATTATCTTTTTATTGTCAATAGGTAAGAAACTGATGAATGCGCAAATTTGATTTTAAGAGTAATTTTTTAACAAGAGTATGAAATTTTCTTACTTATTTATTCGTTTTTAACTTAATTTTTCAAGTTGAGTAATTTGCTTAGAAGTTGATTGGAATATGTGATTTAAAGTTGATAAAAGTTATGAATCTCATTAAATATATTATAAAAATGAATAAAAATGAGTTTAAAAAATTGAAGGCCAAATGTGTTTATTTGGTTAATGAGCAGAACTTAAGTCATTATTTAAGTTTTTACGAGTTAATTAATCGTTACCTAAACCAAACGGGGCTAAAAGCTTGTTTGTCGAAGAGTTTTTAGAATCATTCTTTCTAAAAATTACAGAGTTTATGATATCACAACTTCTTTTCCACTTTTTACTTAAAATATTTTTTAGAAAACTCGTTTTTCTTTTGAAAAATTTGTGTCAAATAAGCTTTTAAGTTAAAATAACAATTCGTTTTATCGATCTATCCAAGGAAATGAAAAACCTCTTGGTTTATCTTATTGTCACCATTCTCTCAAGTCACAACTTTTGCATCGACGTGTGTCTTTCATGTCTTGATGTCAATTCACACGTTTGGCATATAGAGTCCTAGTTCAACATATTATTTACGACAAACTTTCTTAGTAAAATTTCGGTAAGCTTGTTTGATTATAATAAAATCATGTTGACTTGTACATAAATAAGAATACGGTGAAAATTATTGGATCTTAGGGTTTCATTTTAGAAGCTCAACCTTTTTAAAAGAATTAACAAAATTCATATTATTGTTCATTAGTTTGGATCCGCACTCAATGTGAATTTTATTTTACTACTAACATATTCACATAAGAGCGGCTCGTTTCATAACAACCTTGAAATTTGACTATCTTTTTTTTTTTTTTTTAAATTTTTAAATTTTTAATTTTTTTTTTTTTTTTTTTTTTTTGTAACCGTGGATGTTTGGGCCAATTTGCGCGCACTTCGACTAATTCAGTGGTCCTGAGGAGACTCAAACTGACGACCATTGGAGAACAAATTTAAGGCCTGACCAATTGAGCAACTCCTCAAAGTTGAAATTTGACTATCTTTCTGAGCTTTAGATGGATCGACGGCTCTTTCAAGCTTTTTGGCTTCTTACCATGTTAAGCATTGAAGCTCAATCTTAAAAGGCGAAAAGAAGAATTGTATTAAGAAAAACAAAAAACGCAGATAGATCGAACAAGCTAAGTTGAAGAATAAATAAGACTTTATGAAAAGTAATATATTATCACTCAAATGAAAATGATTAAAATCGATGGTAGTAAATCCGTTAGGTACTTAGGTGAGCTGAAAGTCGTTTTACATTTCAACAACAGCAAGCAAGATTGGACGTTTGGACAAAGACATTTCTCCTTGTGATATGATAAGATAACATGGGGGAAGAAGACCCATCAATTTCATCTACTTTTATTCATATCCTTAGAAATATAGCTAGACTAAGCTTAATCATTTCATATGGTACACTTATTCCTTATATTCGGTAATTAAATTAGCCAAGAAAATTCAAAAATTTAAACTTAATTTAATATGGAGATAAACATGATCATGTCCAAAGGGGTTGTTCCCATAAGTATTCTAGGTTGTTTTCATCTTGGAAGTTAATGATGTTGTCCAAGGATTGTTCCGAAGAAGACATTGGTGAAGATTGTGCCATTTCCATCCAAATGAGTGCCATAAGATTTGTTTGTTGGCAATGCATGTTCAAAATTTCTGCTTTTGCTTTTGCTAATTGTTCTTCGAGCTCATTTACTTGCTTTTGGAGGTGGCAAATTGCCCCGGCACATCCGTATACAGGATCCCTAAGCCTGGCATTCGCTTCGTAAACCATGGTACTCACAGCATCGGCTCTTTGGTACTCGGGCAATTCCTGAAAATTCAAGTACTCGTTCATTTATTGCAAATTATAAACTGCCGTAATCATTTTATAAGATGTTCAGTATATTAGACTAGACTTAAAATGATGACTAATAAATTTCATCACGTCTTATAGATAAAATCGTATTGGATCAGTTTCACCTAAAAACTCTTCTAATCAGTAGAAGTACTTTTATAAAATTAACCAAAATTGGATCACGAGTAACTTTTAAGTCTCGAAATATCCTTTTGACTTTTGAAAAAGGGCCTAACTTTACTTCTATGTAAAAAAAAATGTAACTAGTCCCTGTTTGAAAACAAAAAATTGGTCAAAGATAAAAGTTACTTTCAAACGTTTCTATCAACCAAACCCCTGTGTGAACTCTTTTACTTTTCAATTCCCAATCAAAACTTTTTTTTCCCCTTTTTTTGGTACATAATTTTGTCTCCGGTTGCTGTCCTATGCATTTACACCAATTAAAAATGTGTGACTAGCAGATGAGTTTGCCCATCCAAAAATTAAGCAAATGAAAAGCATAAGACTCGCATATATGCTGTACCAGATATGAAAGCATTATAATAAATATATTTTAATTTCTTTTATCATACAAAACAACTCATGAAAGCTCGATATAAAGGGCAAAAGTAGAAGCTATGTAGCTTATTGGCAATTCGGCATACCTGCAAGAACTTGATTATGTTGCTCGCACCAAACACGCGATGAGCAGTGGTGAATTTAAGTGGATCGTTTGGAGGAAAATAAGGCGCCAAAACACATTTTTCAACACATCTTCGGCGTAAAATCTTGCAAGCAGCACAAGGGCTCATCACTAGAGATTGTCGAGGAGGAGAATGCGAAAGAGACGATGAAGTTAATGTTGTGTCACTGCACTCCATTGTTAAGAGTAGAAAATATGTGAAACAAAGACTGTATGGAGCTAGAGAGTTTTCTTACTAATGGAGCTAGAGGGTTTTCTTACTAACTCTTTGCACAAAGATTAGGACATATATAGGCAAAGGAGCAGGGCATGGGCCATTATGTTTGATAGTCATTGGCTTCCATGTTATCGTTTAATTAAATGGGAAATGTTGGGTGTACAGGGTGGGGTTCACACTGAACCCCTCCCCATACAACTCACATGAGGTGGGTCTAGCGTGGGACCCACCTCAATAAAAAAAAAATTACCCCACCCGACCCACCTCAATAAAAAAAATAATAATAACAATAATAAATTACCACCCCCCACGCCCCCCCTTCATGTGACGTTGGATTGTCAAAAGATTAATTTTCTTTTCTTTTATCATTTCGGTAAAAGTTGTAAGAAAATGACTTGAAGTCGTAAAATTTAACGAAACAAAAGAAATGTTAAGCTCATCAATGTTTGGTTTAGATAAAAATCAAAAATTTTATTATATTTTAATGAGCTCCATGTTTTCCAAAATTCATTTTCAATAACACATTCCCTCATAAAGTAATTTTACACGTAAATTCAAAAAAAAAAATCATATTTTTTAACCATACATTCTCCTAAAAATTATTATTTCAAAATCCATTTTCTCAAAAAATGGACTCAAACAGGGGCTAAAAATTGATGAATTGTGTGGTTGAAAAGTTGTGGGTCCCAAAAAAAATATTAAGCCCCTATTTGGCCCCATTTCTTAAAATTTATTTTTTTCTAAAACTAATTTCAATTATACATTTAATAGGCCTTTAAAATCACGCATTTTACCAACCTTTATCAAAATTTACTAAAAATATAATATTTTTCCAAACCAAATAGGGGCTAAGTGCACCAATTCTTATGTAGCGTGCAAGTTGAGATCTACCGTGTTATCAAATATCAAAACACTATAAGGTACGTTCAAATGTGATCACATTAAGAAAAACTCGTTAAAATATATTTAAGAAAAAGTTTTACTCATAAATAAGTTGAACTTATTTTTAAGTTAATCGAGACGTTGTTAGGACAAAAATGCTGCAACTTTCTTGTCCAATTCGAAAAAATCAAGTATAAAAGTCAAGACATATAACTGTCGGTAAGTCCTTTCGATCAAACGGAGATACGCTAACATAGAGGAGTAATGCTATCATGGGATGCCACCCTCGTTGCGACAAGTGCAATTTTCCTACTCCCATGAATCCATAACTAACAATTACATACGTGTCGTTTTAATAATATTGACGAAAGGATAAGGTTGGGTATGCTTAGACTTTCGTCAGCTCATTTCGCATGTGCCATTAGGTTCGTGAAGACTTCAATAAAGAACAGTTCGATTTATTTCTTTATTACATTTCGGGTGACTCTAATAGTGTTTCTATTTTTCTTATTCCCCTCCCCTCCCCTCCAGCAAAGCTGATTCAACCACACGAATTAAGAAACCGTAGACCCAATGTAAAGTCCTCGCCAAACATATAGATGTGAAGGATTAATAGTAAGTGAGATTGAACAAGTCGAGAACTCAAATCCATGATGCGTTTGAGTACTTTATCCATTCTTTTGATTGCAGTAGCATCATCGGATACTATAACAGATATTGTTCCAAGTTCGTTCTGGGTGACAAACTTGAGACTATTTAATTCGTGTATATTTTTTTGAATAGGTGCTTTCCAAAATCAAGTTAAATATCAAGAGCTTAATAATTGTACTACCTGTTCGGTAAAAATTAACATCTAGATATTAATTTAAGTCAAAGTCAATATTTAATTATAATTATATATTTCATATGACCCACAACTTTTCAATTACACAATTCATCAACTTTTATTAAAATCTATTAAAAATTTAATTTTAACTCCAATCAAATAGGGGAATATTACATTTGCTCCAAAGTATATGTTAAAAAAAATGCAAAATGCCTTTTTTCTTGTAGTGCAAATAGGGACATATTACATTTGCTCCAAAGTATATGTTAAAAAAAAGAAAAAAAGATTGATGCTAGGGTTAATTCTACCAATCATTGTGATCCCTTATACTTAATAATTTAACATCATGAGAGGAGAAAAGTGTATTAATCCATAAAGCATGTGTTTAATAATTAAGGAGTTAATTTAGTAGTTAGAAAAGTGAATTTCATTAAGAAAAAGGAAATTATGAAAATATTGAATCACTTCTTATTCATCCACCAACAAATTGTTTGTGAGTGAGAGGAGAGATTTTTCAATTGACAATTTGCAAGACTCGGGACCTCACAAGAGCAAGGATCGAAAGAGATGTAAGGAAGAAAGATGGAGGGACATGAAAATGGAGACCACTTTAGAAGTGAGAAATATATGTTCCAAATGTGGAAAAGAAAAATCTACGCCCCGATCGAAAAATACAATATAGTGGCTCGGAAGTCATTTTACGACAATTCCATACGGTGTCCGTCTTGGTAGGTTATGAAGAATTTCAAGCACATTGAAAAATCTTCTAATTTTGCATTTCCTTGCGTGTGGACCCGGTTAAAGAGAGAGGGCAAAAAAGCTCATTAGTCTAGTAAATTTATTTGATGTGTCTATATCATTATGGATTAGAGACTTTTAAATTTTTCATTTCCAGAAGAAAGCAGCCTATAAAGAAATCAAATTAGAAAATTGATGTCAATGGTCCAAGACAACTACGTTGTCACGAAAACAACATTAAAAATGGTGAATTTCAATACGCAAACTCAAAGCTAAAAGGAGAGCTAAGCTTTGAAGAAACTTCAAGACTATGACATCTGGTTAATATGTCAAAGTCACTATAAACACGTCTCTAATATTCCTTAAATCATGTTCATTCTCTGGGATATCTCTAAGAGACAACTATTTCCAAAAACGAGGTGATTTTCTACTATTGGAAAAAGAACAACTTGCATTTTACTATGAGACAAAATACAAAAACAGGAGCTCAAAATTTATTTGGCAAAGTTTCTTGAGAATCAGACTGAAATAGTACTAGTTTTGGCAAAAAAAGGAACCAACTTGAAGGGAAAAAAAACAACTAATTTTTTATTCGGTCTAGTCTGATTCTTTTCTGTAGGATTGGACATGGTCTCTTCAGAACCGAACCGGACCAAAATTTTCGAGTATTTAGTAAGTGGAATCGTCGGGTCCAAATTTAATTATGGAACCGTTCTGGTTTGGTTTCATTCGGTTTGGTTCTCGAGTTTCGTATAATAATTAACTTTTTTATATTTACAACAATGCTACATTAGTTTGATTATGACATATTCAACATTAACTCTTACAAAATGATATAGTCCAATTTGGTGATATCTTTTGTGCATATTTTTGTTGTATTCTTCATACATTTGACTGTTAAAATCACAAGAAGATAAAGATAGTCAGTTCACAATAATAGAATCGTAAAAACGACACTACGGTAGAATAAGATAATCATATTTATTGATAGATTATAAAAAATATATATGCTTTTGCAACCAAACTGTGAAGCTATACCCAATAATCGGATCCAAAATGTTCACTTCGTGACACGAATTCTATTCGATTCTGGTCCAATTCAGTTGATTCTAGATCAAAATTCTGGTCCCTGAGCACGAGGGATTGATCAATTTGACTGAATTTAGAGCATTAACAAAGGAAAGGTGAGGCTCAATTAAATGGTCATGCATCAATCTTATCATGGTCGTAAGCAAATTTATTGTGCACTCCTTCACACGGTGCTCTTAGCATTCAATACCGGTCAACAGCAGCAATTCTTATGCATATACAAAGAGTAAGATTTTGAATGTCTTGACCAAATATTTATATTTGTTAAGCCTTTCTTTCTAATCTTAGCCCCAATGCAAAAAAGAACCAGTTTGGGTACGGCAGTGGGCAGCCAAACATTCTTGACCATCACTTTTCATAATCAATGAAACTAAAACCTAACTAATTGTAAACCTAATCAATGCACATCCATATTTATGTAGAGTTTGGCTAAGCCTAAAAAATTTATGTTTGAAAGTCAAAGTAGAATATAAATAAGTTATGTATTTTATGATGGAATAATTTGTATTTTTTTTATAGTGAATTGGAATAAGTCGTCAATATGTGCGTTGAGTGGGCACGATTCTTCAAATGCAAATGATGCATATCAAAAAGTTGTTTTGAATGGGTGTAACATTTTGATAAGGTGCGATTTAGACCATCAATTTTGAAATGGTGTCATCTAATTGTTGGAATTAAATTGGCCACAAGACGTTATCTTCGAAGAAACACTTGAAAATCTATAAATATAGGCATTTAGTTCCATCTTTTTCTTGCTAAATTCTGTAAAAATAATTTTTGCATTAATTTGAATTTTGTATTTGATATTTATTATTCGATATCTTCCATTCTAAAATAGTACAGTCAAGCGTTGGTTCGCCTGACAACATTAATAGTATGATATATTCATTTTGGAAGAAACGTTGTATATTAGGAGATGAACTTCCATTGATCCTATTAGCACCAGTGCAGTGCAGGGGCCAAAATCCGTCTTAAAAAGATTTGTATTCGCATACCTCGTTTTATTTCATCTCCTTCAAATTTTTACATTTTTTACATTTGAGTAAGTTTTGATTTGGTCATTATTATGTACGTACCATGGTTTCGATAAGTCGTTACTCTATTCATATTTGCGTGCACGTACATTTTTATTAATGAAATATAATTTATGCACTAATTTATCCAACATTCTAAAAGTAGTTCTTGATTTCTTGTCAAGATAAACTTTTTCTTAGGTAGGATTAAAAAGGACGTACTTACGTAAAAGTAATTTAAATTACCTTCTAGTTGATAGTAATAAGAAGCAAGTGATCATTAAAGAATGCCAACATAATTTGTAGGCTGATTGGATATGTTAACAACTATATGATGAAACATGTAATAAAAGTAGGGCTTTAGTTGTTAATCTTCACATTTGAAAGTTTAAGATGTTAGATAAGATCACATG